GACCATGCAGGAAGACTCCTTTCCAGAGGCCAAATTGTGCCATAATACTTTGCAAATATAAGAAAGAAAGAATTGAGTAAATGCTTTACCATGTGACAAACTCTCAATAGTGACAGGACCCATTTCTCAAAATCAAGCACTGGTGCATTAATAGCTGCCTTGAAGTACACAAAAAACCATCTCACCACAAAACAGAATGGAATCACCTTATGCAGAGATCACCACAAATTTTCCAATTAGATCTTTGGTTTACTACAAAAAAAATCCTGAGACGTTAAACTTGGTGTGTAGGGATGCTCCAGACTGAGCTGACTGGCACAAGACAATTTTCGTTATACTTACCCAGGTACATCCAATACTGAATAAAAAGTTCAGATGAATTTACATTTCAGAAATCATTCAAGAAGAACTAAGCCTGACTATACGGCATGCTACAGTACTAATGTAAGGAAACTTGCTTTTTGGGTATTTATGCCGATATCCAAATGGTAAGCCTTTATAATGCTGACTTCCAAAAAGTGTTGCACAGAAATGAGTTTAAAAACCCTCAACATTACAAGGTAGCTGATGGGAAACAAAGAAGTAGATGATGTATTTAATTGAGTGTGCAACAACCCAGAAAACTTTTGGGGAAAAGAATTACAGGCTTTTCTATACAGCACTCCCCAACAGTACCCAAGATACCAGGAAGACATAAGTAGTGACTAGGTATTATTTAGTCTATTCTTACAGGCTAAAGAAAGGAAACTAACAGAAGAAATTTTCAGAATTACAGAAGACATAACAAACTATTGTATCCAGTCTATTTTCCACCTGCAAAACTTCAAAATCTCTTGTCAGGCACAGTATGAAATCTACTTTGCTGTTAATATTAAGGTTTCCGGTAAAACTGTTGCAAAGGAGAAAAAGAAACCTATTACCTCAGTTCATGGAGAGGGCTACCCATTCTCTTTTCCTTAATATAGCTTATCTCAACAAACTGCTACTGATTGCCATACAGGACCTTGATCCTTCAGTTGCATCATGACCATAGTTGCATTGCATGTGCCCTTTTGCAGCTTTGGAGAACTTTGTAATATAAGAATTATAGACTGGTGCAATTACTGATGTCCTCTTAAAAGCAAGCAAACAAAAAAACAACAACAACAAACAAAACAAAACAAAAAAAAAACCACCAAAAAACAAACTCAACCCAAAATCCCAAAACACAGAAACCCAAAACACCATGCCACCAGCCACTGATTTTTAGAGAATCTTCAGGATGCTATCAAACTTAAAAGCTTTAAGGACTGATTGCTCTCCCTCCTGCCCTACTTAGTGAGCATAGCCTATCTCCATGTGGCATCCTCATTGCTGGTCAACACAGCTTGAAGGAGCATTTGAAAAATCATTCCCAATACAGGACTGTCAGGATTATTATTATTATTTAAGGAACACAAAGTCACCTTTTACTCCAGCGTAACGCTTAAGATAGTAGTTACTGCCTGGGACAGATGACAACACACAGACACCTAAGAGATTAAAAGAGTTATAGTCCAAAGTGTGATACAGAAGATACCAGTGCAAGATGATGCCCCCAAATTTTCCCCTCACCTCAAGCCCTACAAATTTAAAACCTTATGGAAATCAAGACTTTAGGCTTGATATACTGTAAGTCATCTGTAGATTTGATGACTTATCTTTGTCACTTGTTTACTTAGTTATATATACATTCTATACTGCATCTTCCAAAGTTCTGATCTTCAATAAATTGTCTACACCATGTAAGCAAAATGTACTTTATTCTGTGCATGTGAAACATAGCTAACAATGTTTTCTGCAGACATATGGACAGTTTGGAGAACGAGAGACTCAAGAGCTATTCACACTTCATCACCAGTCAGAGTAGCAGCTGTAAGACACCCTTCACTGACCCAGCACAAATAAATACAGATAAAAACCACCAGGCTTCATCCATTCCTTGAACAAGACCTTTAGAGAAAGGGAGGAAGTGGCAACCAGTGTGGTTTTGCCTTGAAAACCTCCTACCAGAGTGCAAGAGTCCCATTCTTGAAATATACAATAGACAAATGAGACTTCTGAGACTTGGGACACAAGTGTTTTCTGTGTTAGATGACTGTAAACATCTGGCTTTTTATCTAATCTCAAGAACATTTTATTTGTAACATTATTGCCTTCTTTCTGGAAAATTGGCATTTTCTTAACAGTTTCACCACATCTGTAACTATATTTGATTAAGGTTTGACAACAGTGATCTGACAAAAAGTTAACTAAAATTATCCGCACAGAACAATGACTACAGACTTGCTACATTTAAAAAAATCCAAAACCAAACCAACCAAACAAAACAACAACAAAAACCACCTACCAAAACACAAAAAGTCAACCTGTTCCTGAGCACTAAAACTCAAGGCATCTAAATGGAGAGTTAACAGATGGCTCGAACATTTGGAACATCTTCAGATTTTTTTACTGGAAAACAGAGTTAAAAATATAGGAGAGTCCTCTCCCATAGGCTGTTACAGGCAGTTCAGACCTCCAGCTCTCAGGCTTCTCAAAACACATTACTCAGCTTCTGCATAACACAAGGTTGCCAATATTTTACATAATATTTTATTATGCAGGAAATTCTAAAGATACAAATCCTGTTTTAGCCTCCACCTCCCAAACCCCATCTACACAAAGCTTTCAATTTTTTGCACTAGCTCTGAAACTATTGCTTATGCAGCAAGCTGATCTAATTTGCTAATTGAGAAGACAGATTTTCACTTTTTCAAGTTGGTTTCCTACTGGTTTACTATGTTAAATCATCTCAGTGCAGACTCAAGAATAAAGTTAGATGCAAGGTAGGAATGTAAATCATTAGACTGGAAAGGAAGGAGTACAAATTCTTCTTTCTCTGGTAATAGCAGAAACCATGCTTGATTTTATCTTTAAGGATTAAATGCCCTGGAGAACTGCATTAGCAGCATTCAGATAATATTGTAGTCCTGGGAAGAGAAAGGGCCCAGAATATTCATCTGAACTTGGTACAAAGCACTTCAAAGGGCTTGAAGGAAACGGGTTCCCCAACTGCTGAAGGCAGGGCAAAAGTTTTAAGGTCTTGCCATGGAGACTTTAAATAGCAAAAAACAGGCCAGCATGAGGGAAGAACTGTGGTCAGTGCTACAGGAATTCAGATTGTAACATCTTTGAGGCCAACATTATGGTTTTCAACTCTTCACTGGATTCCTGTTCAGAAGAGTCTCTTGTAAGCTGCTCCTTCACCAGCAGAGGTCAAGACAAAAATGTCACTTCAAAAGACAGAGTTACACTGCACATAGCATGTATGCAAAGTAGAGGGAATTAAATACAATCTAACCTACTACCACTGACTCACACATTAAAGCTCCTATGAACTATTACATTAGAGACTATGGACACAGACTTATAAATCCAATCTCTAGATTTATATACACTGCAGTCAACTGATTCTGCATTTCATTTTTGGTTTTTTAAATACAAAATAATTATCTGAACAAAAGCTATATGGTTTTGCCTACATACTTAAGGACAGAAATTACTTTGGAACTTCAATGTTACTGAAATACTCTTACTTTGTAATTTTAAAAAAATTCACTAAGTAGCTGCAGAGAGACTTTGCTACATTGAAACAGCTAATCAAAATTCCTTTAACACTATTTTAAAAGGTACCTAAAATCTGCAAGAAAAAGAAATTAAGAGCGAACAGATTTTCCTGAACTGCTATATCAGTAAAATGAAATAAAAATGGAGACTAAGTATGTTCAAATTTCTATTTCTGAATTACATTTTATAGTAAAAGGTGGCTCATGATATTTCTACTCTTCCAAGTTTATAAAGGTACTTTAAAGCCAGGAGGTTTGGAAATTTATTATTAGTCTTACAAACAACAGCCAACAAGTACCTGGCACACAAACCAAATCCAAATACTCTTTTCCCATGCTGCTATGTGACTGCAGCTGAAGATGGAATATCACTAAAACAGCTTAATTCCCCTTATTTAGTTCAACACCCAACTATACAGGTACCACTGCGTAAATCCAAACTGGACTGGATGACATAGATTAAAAGTAACTGGTTTTAAAAGAAAATTCATTCAAACCTGTTCTTCAGAATGATCAGGATTTGTCAGCATATAAACACAACATAATAGTCAATTGCTCTACCACAGGAGACAAAAACTGTATTGCCTTCCTCCAAACCTTCAAACTCTGTAGCTGCATTTTTGTAAATATTTTAATTTAATTAGGGTTTAATTAGGTTTTTTTTCCCATTTCTTTTTAAAAGATCACTAATTACTGGCCTGGAAACTTTATGGTCTCCTTAAAGCATACCTTTAAATACAGTCCACATCTTATGTTTTTGTCAGACTTTCAAAAAAAAGTAGCAAATAGAAAAAAAAAAATCAACATGTAGAATAATGTTCACGATAGAAAATATATGAATTTTCAAAACTTAGTTTTTCATAAAAATAGATGTTTTAGGTATGCAGTGCCTTGCCTTTTACAAAGCAGAAGACATCATCTCTTGGAAAAAAAAATTGAACAAAACTGAAAGCAGTTATCAGTATGAGGCAGAGATTTGATTAGACAGTTCTGAAAGATGCTGACAAAATAATAGAAACCCTCTTCCCACCGCTGCAGGCAAACAAGAATCCTGCATCTGAAACTTCTCATCAAGTATTTTAAGTGCTTGTCAAATGGCAAAAAATAAAAAAAAAATTATTTGCTCATCTGTGAGAAATGAAACCATTTCAAATGAAAGCATCTTAGTGATTTTTCTTTTAAATTAACTATTTCTTCCAGCTGTTACAACAGCTAGCCTCTGGAGGATGAAGAAACACCTTGCTGTTATGCAAATTCCTCCTCTGAGATGCATCACAACATTTCAGAATTACTGGCAGCTTTGTCTTAAGAGTGGCTGAATGTTAGGAACTGTGCTTCTGCACTGCACCATGAAAAGGTCCACACGTATTTCCATTCAAGGGTAGTAATCTATTTTAAAACAAGAATTTATTGTGTTATAGTATAAAGACACTAAACACAAAACAAAGTGTTTAACAACATGAATATTGACACAAAATAAAAGCAAGATAGTTTCAAGCCAATTCTGTAACTATTCCATGTGAGAAATTCCAAGTGAAAGAAAGTTACATACACAGGGTCACCCTCGGGAAAGGATGGCACCACCTCCATTTAATTGAAGCCCTTTTTCAGGACATCATAGCATTGTCAGAATAGTTGCATTATCTTGAGGGCTTGAGTGGTATATAAGCTTTGTCTTGGCCCTCTCCATATAGGTGAACTTACCCACAGATCTAAAAGAGAACCAATGAGGCATTTCTGCTGTAAACTGTAAGACCTGAGGTACACTCACTTCTAATCTACCTTGCATTTTCTTGATCTAAGATATAGGGGGTGGGAGTTTATTAAAGAGCAGCATAAATCTGATTATTTAACTTCACTATAGTCCATGTGACAGCACAGGTCAATAAAATGCATAATGCTTTGCACTACAACACCCATCTTCAACAAAATACATATGGTATGTCATGAAGCTTCTCTGAAACCATGTATTGTCATTTCCCAAGCCACTATATATGAAAAGATAACTAAATTTGAGATATACTTAAGCCATTTCTTCAGACATTACCTGGTCACATTAAGGTCTCCTTCCTGTGGACTATTTTGATAGGATCCACTATATAAACGAGTCATACATTAATTTCTCAACTGTTTCATTTCATACAGAGCAGTGAACAAGATGATACAGATTAAGTATCAGATTACTGCTCGTTCACATGAACCATTTCTGAAACTAACCAGTTTGATGATCTCACAACAACAAAATTTTGCTAAACAAAAAGTTTAGAGCATAAGTACTTCTTTTGTTTAAAACTATTTTTTTGGCTTTTAAAAGAAAATTAATTCAATGTTTCCAAGGCTCATTGTGAAAATATATACACACATCAAATTTATATCCAAAACTAGATTTTACCATTGAGTTTTAAAGGCCAAGAGATATTTTCAGTACAAGAGGAAAAAAAAAAGCAGTTCCTGAAGTATATTGTAGCCTCACTTCACTGCCAGTATCTACGGTTCTGATGCTGTACAAAATACTTCTCTGAAGCAAATCCATCTAAACTCTATCCACCCTGAGTTAAGCATCTATACTTTTTTTTAAATGTTTTAAATAATAGGTAACAGAGAAGTATGTACAAGGCTATAAAACATCAGTTATCATACAGCAGATTAAAAAAAAATCAGTCTTTTTAGCCAATTTTCTGGTTTTTATTGTAGTTAGTCATTGTGGATTTGGTTTAGGGATTTTTTTTTTTTGCTTTTGTTTGTTTTTACATCAAGCTATTACTTGATTTAGACATTCATGCATTAATTGCTTGATTTTTTTTTTTGAGTGCAACAATAAGGCAACAGTAAAAAAAATTATAGAAATTTTGCATATGTGTAAAGGTATTTAGTTTATAAAAGTGCTTCCTAAAAAGACAACCTAATTGCAGTATCAAAATATTACAGAGTGCTGAGAACAACCGTCATTTCAGTAAATGTTGCTCAACAGAAAAATGTCCGATTTTAGGCTTTTCCCCCTTTTTTTGGTGAAGAAAAGCCAGGAAAAATTGGCACGGCTATGTGGGACAAGCAAGTTAAGAAAATATACTTTAGTCTAAACTTAAATAAGAAGGTCCACACTTTTTTGTGAAAACTTTAAGCCTCTGTCAAAAATGTATTTTTTTTTCTTTTTATAATACAGGATTAAAAGACAAGATGATGCTTACAAGATAAAGAAATAATTTACATGAAAATATCTTCTGACAAAGCTTTTCAATCAAAATATTGTTTTGTAACATTCAAACATGACATACAACACAAAAGAAACAGTGAATGCAAACAAAAAATGTTATATGGATTGCTTTTGAACACATAAATAAATGAAATATTGGTGTAGGCAGTAGGGCTCATGCTGATGGCTAGCAGGAAATAACAGTGTGCAATCTATTTGGAAAAAGCTCTAAAGTACAAATTACAAGCCCAATTACGGACTGCAGCAAGTTCAGTTATATCACTGCCATCCTCTATCTCCAAAATAAATTCTTGTTTAAATCACTCATACCCTAAATTACTCATACCTTTGCTTCAGAGATATGAATAACTATATACAAAAAGTAGTTTTATTTCACCATAGGGATAACATTGTACCTCTCTGCCAATGTCACTTGAAAAACCGCCCATGTCAAAACAATTTGACAGCAGATAAACAATTTAATAAATACGTAATGATCTTATTACAGTCCTTCAGGTAGGCATGTTAACTCATGCTGCTAGTTTTGTGGTCACAGTGCATAGAATCCAAATATAAAAGAATGGGCTGGATTTCAGGTAATTGTCAATCCCTTGCTTATATTCCAAATATATCCAAAACTTTCATATAAGCTCAGTCATGTGTCAATCATTTTTGTGGCAGGAGCAAAACCTTTCCCTGGTACAATGTCCATTGCCGGCAATGGATGCACCAAAACCGCCAAGGAGCTCAGTGTTATTGCACAATATATGAAGACCTGGAATTCTTCCAAAAGCTTAAAATAAAAATAATGGAATTATTCTGACATTTCTGGACACCTGCATTAATACTGTATGACTAATAAAAGCATGTCAGTTGCATGGACTGAACCAGCGATCAACATGCGCCCAGAATGCACACTAGTAAAAATGCAGTCAAAGGAAGTAGTCTTCATTGCCTATAGGTCACTTCCAGTCAAAGGTTAAAGTTCAAAGACTGAATGATCAAAGTGCTCATTTTCTCAGTAGGACTATCTTCTGCTACGAGGATCACAAAATGGTGGCATCAACATGTGTCATCTTTAAAATAAAAGAAGAGCATTTATGGAAAACATATAAACATTCTAATTCCAAATTAGCAAGCTGCTATAGGCAGAAACAATTCCTAGCATAGACAGTAACATGCAGAGGAAATACCCGGATTGGAAAAATTCTGTGATTTTGTTCAATGACTCGGGGAGAAAAGAGAGTATCAAAAATTAAACTTCTAATATACACAAACACCCCCAAAGACATTAGTATTAGCAAATACTCCACAAAAACAACAGTCATTTCCATGCTTGATATTTAGAAAACCACTTGCCAGGAAAATTAAAAATAAATATGCTTAACATTTTGCACCCGTGAAGTACAGCAGATCCACAACAGAAAAGACATCCTTTTATAAGGAATATATAGGGATAAGACCTGGCAGAGTGGGCTGCCTCCAATGCCTTCTCAACCCTTGCGTGTGTGTGTGTATATATATATATATATATGTTATATGTATATTAATTTATTTATCAAGACTCAACACAAAACAATAGATTGACAGATTTATGCAAAAAGAATAGGTTACTACTATAATCCTAAAATCTTAAACCTGAAAGTAAATTACATACACTAAATTTTAGATACTGTGATTAGAAAAAACATACTATAAAAATGCACATTCTATACCCATCTTTTCTGCATTATGCTCCCTTTTACTAATACTAATGCTTTTCCTTTTAAACATTCTCCTTCACATATCAACCTGTGGTATATTTGCACCTGCTAGCAGTAAATATTAAGTTCTTAACAGAAAGCAAAGTTACTGTCTGCTTATTTTTAAAGGACTTACTTGTAACCTCCCACACCTAAAAAATGTAGCCTCATAAACATTCTACATTCTCATGGGAAAATATTATATCAAAGCTATTACTGGTAAAAAAACTCTTTAATTTTTCAGTAGGCTACTGCACATGTGAAAAAAATGGACAAGGATGCAAAAGAGAGAAAAGGGATATTTCAACGGTATACTAAAATTTTACACCAAATATCAGAGAAAACACTTTCTACTTCAGAAAAAAACCAAAACCAAACCAAATTCAAAACCCAAAAGCAGCAGGGAAGTGCTGGTTGAAAATAAACAGCATTGCTTTTCCTTTCCTCCACACCCCACAAAAAAAAATCTACCTCCTGACAACAACAAAGGAAGTCAACAGCTTTATGAAACAGATTTCAGTCTGGATGCCCAAATAAACCACATCTGGAAGATCCTCCTCTGTCTTTAAGACAAGATGAGCAACCCTCAGATTGAAATTCAGCAGGGAAGTCAATGTACAGTTGAAACAGACATTGGGTAGGGTAGACAGTCTAGAAATATTTTCAGTTATCAAAGATCAGGAGCTTTAAAACAGGGCTTGTGAGGACAATTTTATAGCAAACAAAGCTCCATAACTCTGCTTGAGGAGTAAGTTGCTGTGTTATTGGCGGGGGGGAATGATACAATAGATTAAAAACTGTTATTAAGATAAATGCAGACACGTATTTGCATATCAGACTATGTCTCAAAGCGGCACTTTATCACTCTGTACTCATCTGGGTTTTCTTTAATCAGCTCCCAACCAGGGACTATTTTGCTCCCAGGTAAAAAAATTCCGGGCACACAGTGGAAAAAAAAATTGCTTCAAATGCACATATTAATAGATATGACAGACTTCTTCCTATCTCTTCAAAACACAGAGCTACTATGTCACGTTAAAGCTAAACCAGTCCAATGGGCAGCGGACAGCAGAAGTGGCAGAACCACTCTGCATCTCCCTCCACAGGTTGTTGTATTAGCACTGGCATTTAATTTCTCACAACGGTTATCCATGGACTGCTGCTTTTCTTTCCTGGGTGGGATTGTTTTTTTCTTCCCTCACTTATCCAGCCAAATGTGGTTCAACCACAAGATTAGATATCTGACACTTCAGCTGAAGCGTGAGCAGAAAATAAACATGACAGAAACATCTTTTCACACTTCCCATTTTACTGTAACATACCATTTCTTTAAATCTGTTTAGAAAACACTGACAATTTAAAGATTATGCCTTGGCAGTCTTGTTCCATGTCCACATAGGAGGAACAGAATTAAATGAGAAAAGAAGCGAATGACACACACAAAAATGGAAGGGAAAACACTCTAATCATTTATGAAATTTTTGTCCTATGACATCAGGAATATTTTTTTTTTTAATGTAAGAATTCAAGGTGGTGGGGAGCCCCATGAATTTTTAATCATGACAGTATGAGTCATTTAAATGAACTGACTTTCTTTCTCTTGTCTCAGGTTGGTTTTTAGGTTGCTCTGAATTTGGGGAAGGGTAAGGTTTTCTGACTTCCAGAAAAAAATCACTGCATAGTTACTTCATAGTAACTAAAATACCCATTCAATGAACTGTAAGCTGTGGTTTTGAGCCATAATAATACAGAAACCTTCAGAATCAGTAACTCAGATTTCTTTTCATACTAAGTTTCAGTTTTGCTTGTTTAACTCAAATTGAATTTCATTATTAAGAAATAAAAGCAATATCTGCAGACTGTTCTGCTTTTACAGATTTGCATTCTAAATCAAAATGAGACTAGTAAAAATTAAAAGCAGATAGAACATATTTTAATCACAAGATAAAGCCAATAAATGCAACTTTAGCTGTTTGTCTTTAAAAATAATTCGCAAGTGAAAACAAAGTTAACAAAAACTCTCCCAAAATTGCCATTTAAGAGAAACAAAAACTAGAAACGGAGAAGCACCAAACACATTACAAGAGCATGAAAACAGAGAGAGAAAAGAAAGTGACTGCTGAATAATCTGGTGAGGATGAAAAATCTATCCTTGTGTGCAATATGATTATTATTCTTGGAGGCAACTTTAACAACAATCACATGATGGTCCCAAGTTTCTTAGATATACCTTAATCTCATGGCATACAGCAATTCTCTTACTGTACTTGAAACCACCTTGTTTTGGGGTTGCAATTACTGCATTATGAGAAACAGAGTTTCATTCTGTTATATTACCGTATGTCAAAACCCCACGGGTCTCAGCAAGTATTATGAAACTATCAAGTTTTTCTTGTTAGGCCATCCATGGGCTTTTAAAAATCTTAAGAATTTTAAGGGTGAAGACTTTGGAATTTGCCTCTCCACTTATGAACTCTCACTGTCTCAAAATACTTGCTCTAGTTTTCACTTCAGGGACAGAACCTATGCTGGAGTGAGGAGGCCATGAAAAACACAGGATGTTTATGGTGGAACCTTAACCTGCCTCTGCAGTGATGGAATCAACTGTTCTGCACTACTCTAGCATGGAGTATTACCTTCTCTGACATATCCCTTCCCAAAGAACTTGTGCTTCCAGTGACTACTGTTTGTACAGAATTTTCCTAGGGAAAGCAAGGAAAGCATTGCTAACAAGAGGAGAGAAACAAAGAATGGCCTGTCTCTATCCCCTTCTTCTCTCTTTCCTCACCAACGGAGTGGATAAGACAAGCACATACAGCCAACTGCAGCTCTGGGTGGAGGATGACAAATGCTGAGGCAGAAGAAAGAAACCACAAAGTATAAAGCAACACATAGAACGCATGGAAACAAAAGAAAAAAGCACAAAAGCAAAAACACAGCAAACCCCAAACCAAAACCAAACAAAGAATTAAAACCCCAATACAACACTAGCACTGCAGACACCAGCAGTTTTAATACGCTTTTTTCTTCTTTACCATGCCCATGGAGAATCTTATTACTATATTATTGAGTACTAGTTTTTAGGGGCCTTTAAAGTCAGTCAACTGTCCCATACTGGAAATTCTCATTGAGAGTGGAAATCTATCAAAACACATAGCTGTTTACAAATATATAGGTATATTTTCAACAACATAAAAGTTTTAAAAGTGTTAATAACAATAACAAAAAAAACCTGTTTAGAGCAAAACCTAGTTTCATCATGGACTTTCCCTAATCCCAAACTTTGTCCTGGATTGATACACTTTACAGGAACTTTCATTCAAAGTCAATCCTACAATTTAAAACATGTTTAAATTTCCACCAGGAATTATTCAAATGTGATATAGAAAAAAAAAATCACAACAGAGTATCTCAGAAACAGGATTTAAATTAATTTTTGAGTTGAAAAAAATAGCTTAATGCTTTGAACACATTTATCCTACTTTCCTACAATTTAATTGCCTTCAGCCTGAAAAGAAGTTAAAAATTTCTGGTCCTAGTTAGTAGATACTTACCATGATACCACCATTTTGTTTTCTTTGGATTCTTGTTACATGTTCTTACATAAAATGAGTTATCTGGAGGTCGCCTCTGCAACAGAAGAAAAGACCTACAAATAATCAAACAATCCTCATATTGTAATACATGAGCTATTTAATAAGATTATGAAAGATTACCATGTGAATGCAGCGAAAATGAAGTAACAGGCAGGACTAGACCTTTTTGGTCAAGAAAAATCTCTCAAAGATCCAGGTAACAAATCCTTACTTGAGATACTCCAAGAAAATAAAATAGTAAAAAATATACAGTTTGGTGATGAACAGGGGAGAAAAAGAAAAAAATAAAAAAAACAACAAACAAACAAAAGAAACCAACTCACAAGAAACAGCTGTTGTTCAAAAAGCCGGGGGAGAAAAAGAAAAAAATAAAAAAACAACAAACAAACAAAAGAAACTAACTCACAAGAAACAGCTGTTGTTCAAAAAGCCCCCCAAAATTAAATTCCTTTGCAGCTTGGAATCTAATTCTGATGCATTACATCCAATTCCCATTCTAAGGCTCAGCTCAGAGTGGGTGAAAAAATGAATTTAAGTATCTGTAGCAGATCATTATTACATATTCTTTGGTTTTCTTCGTAAGTGTCATCATTTACAAAACACATAGGATAGAATACAATACAAAGCCATTTTGGGGTGGTTTTTTGACTACATATATGACTAGGACTGATTGGGATGCAAAATAAATAGGCATGCTTGGATAGCACATATGGACAAGCTCTGACCACATCTAACTTCCACAGACAGCCCTCTGCGAAAGAAATGGTCAAAAGTGAAAGGGCAATCTCTTTACAAAAAAGGTCTCTAAGGTATTAGTGCCAAAAAAGCAGCTTAGTACCATTTACTTCCCTGAAATGAAAATTATCAAGTTCACTGAAATAGTACAGATGCAAAGTTAGAAACATCTGCACTAAAAACATTTCACTAGTCATTCCGCACTGCCTTTAGAGGAAGGATAATTTTAAAACAATTGTCCTAAAGCATGATTGAACTTCGCAGTTCTGGAAGGGTTCCATCCACTGCTTTTTCCAGTAATGATATATAAGCAGGTTACCATGAAAACAGTGGCCAAGTACTTCCTGCACTGTTTATTTTGCAGTTCTAGCTTAGTACTTTCTCAGTAGTAGAAATGTAGATAGAGTAGTTTTGCCTATTTCAGAATTTGAGAAAGTAAATTTTACTTTGTAAAGTAGAAAATTACTAACTTTTACTTATTCTACTTCAACAGTGCTAAAAAAGCCCATACCTTTTCTTTGCAGCTGGAAAGCATGCTAATAATGCTAAGACAAACAGATTGCACTGAGAGGGCTGGAGACCAGTCTTCCGTTAGAATGGATAAACAGATATGACCATTGCTATAAACATGAGGATGAACAGGGATATTGTCTCCAGTAAACATGACCTAAAAAAAAAAGAACAAAAATAACTAATTTATAGTCCCCATTTTAAATAAAACTGTATTGGTTTGGGGAAACAACATAATGTTATTTAAGCAGGTCTGCCATTTTCACTTACACTAAATAACACAACCATGTTGGGTTAATTCAATTTTGGAAACTATTAAGTGACATGTAAATCAATGGAAGGCTCAATAGCTAGTGAAGATGCAGTTAAATAAATGGTTAAATATAGGGGATTTTCTATTAATATTTATACAGCATAAAAAAATGCAAAGGTAACAATGTAAAGTGCAAAATTTTGCACCCTCAGTCTTCTACGTCCTAAGGAATACAGCTGTCTAGCCAAAACACTGGATTTTAATGACTTTATAAGCCACAATGTTAAACACCAAGAAGCACAACAAGATTCACAAATGAGTATTACTATAAACCTGAACATAACAGAAATAAAATTCTGGACAACTCATCCAGATTCCAGTAGGAAGAATAAAATTAAAATTCATTGATGTTATTAACTATAAATAAAGGACTTGTGAAATCAAGTATACCAAAGTTTACCACATAAGAAATATTTTTAAAAAATTACTTCAAATAGAAAAAAAATTAGAAAAGAGAGAGAAAGAAAGAGAGTAAAAGTGAAATCTTCATATCAGTATTCTACTTTTGACATTGAGAATATGGAAGAAAAGCATTTAGAACCTGAACTCCTCTGTATTAAAAGATAATATCACAGTCAAAAAAAGGCTAGAAAAGTAATTTTGACAACTACTGCTCTTACATCAAGTTTTTGTCAAATGTATCTTTGGTTTAGGACCAGCAGAAAGAGAGTAAAAGTGAAATCTTCATATCAGTATTCTACTTCTGAACTCCTTTTCCAACTCCTTTTATGCAGTAAAAACATAAATCTCTACCACTCATAACTATAATACCCAGCAATTTCTTAAGTGTTTCTTAAGCTATATAGATATGCATAAAAATAAGTAAACATGTTCACACACACCCACCTCCTCACTGATGACAAGCAACAGCTTCATCAGATAGGAAACTGAAATTAGAGAGCTTAATTTATCTGCGAAATGGCAGACAGGTTTCTAAGGCATAAGAGAAACTGGATGCACAACGATCTTTCACAGGTCTTTAAGCTGGTATTTCTTAAGCATTGAAGGGCTTACCTTCATAATCCTGTAATGTATTTCACTTGTAACTAATATCCTGGTTTTACATGACAACCTGAACTAGGCAGACTAGGTAAGTAAAAGAATGCACTCTATGACAGATAACATACATTTAAAGTCAGAAAATATCCAAGTGATTAAAGCGGCACAAGTGAAAACTGTCAACTCACAGTAACTAGATTTGCAGGAGAGGTAATTATGACCAAGAAATTATAGTGCAAAATGACCCTACTGCACAGCAATGTTTGAAAAATTGAAATTCTAGCCATCTAAAACAATCCAGTATCCAGTACTTAAATTTTTAATGGTTTTCTGTGATAAAATTCAGTGTAGATGTATGGATCTAATTTGCTGCTTAACAATAAATTGCACAGATCCACACACACAGGTTGGGTAATGAAGACAAACAACTTGGAAACAAATTAAACTGGCTACTCTCTTGTGATCACCTATAATTAGTTCCTTGCAAATCTGATGAGGTGCAGAAGTACAAATAGCCAGTTTGCTCTATAAAAGACTGAAAGTCAGCATTCTAGTGTTTATCATGGTACCTAAAAATATGTTAGGATTTTTGGCTTCAGTGTCTCTCACAGCTCCATGCTTCAGTTTTAACACCAACAAGAGAAGTTACATAGAATTTCTAGAACTCTGAGCTGAAACAAACAGGACAAGAACTAAGACACTCTTGCTCTTCTACTTCCTTTTTCAGAAAAGCAGGGGTGATAACTGACCACTACTCTTATCAGCCATATATTGAAGCGTTTCCCTCAGGTAATGGAGGAATGAATGTACACAGCACATTCCGCAGTCTCTAAGTTCGGCTGTTCCTTCAGTTCTCTAGGCTGTCTTGGAAGCAACACAGTATCACATACCTCAGTTATAACACTATTTGCAGGTCTCTCAAGCACGCCATGAATCTACGAGAATCCCTATCAGAAGCACAGTATGTCTTCAGCTGTATTAACAATGGCAGCAGAGAAGATGCAAGAGTCTTAAAAATCAACCAGAAAAAAATATGTTGAAAGTAAGAAGGGATGAAGCAGCAGTTTATTGTTTACTTGGCTCCTGCATCACAGTAAAGAGGATCTTCCTACTTTACCCTGTATTTCATGACTTGAATATCAACATCAAAGAAGCCTCCAGGTTACACTACTTTCATCTGTCCAAGCAAACAACAGAGTCCCACACTTCACTGCAGAACCATTTGTAAAGAAAAGGCAGCTGCACAACGTGTTTAATACAAATTAAATTAAGCAAAGCTGACATTAGGCTATGTGGATAATACCATACTCAGCACACGTCACACAGCTGTAACCTGAAGGTAGAAGGAAGAGAGAAAGAAGGCAGCAGCAGTTACCTGAGGCGAATCAAAAGGATACCGACTACTAAACTTAAATAAAAGCTGAAATTTTTCCCCTTCATAGAGTGTTCCTGGAGCACCTTCCATGTCTACAATCCACCTAAGGAAAAGGGGAAAAAGCTGTTAGCATTGTGGACTGACAAATTAATACTTGTACTCCTGGAGCACTGGACTAATCAAATCAAATATCAATCACAGCCAGACCATCTAACTTCTCTTCTAACACTACAACAATCATAAAGGTGAGCAATACATCAAGCCTGTATTTAAAAGAAACAAGCTTGGTGTTTTGCACACAGGCACTGACACAGTGATGCAAATTATAAATGTAATTATGATTTGAACTATACATAGACCTATCAGTTCCCAAGAAATGGCTGCTAATATGAGACAACAAAGCTGAAAAAAAACCCTGCTTGGAAACTTAAAAGGTTTGGAAGGAAACAAACTAGTACACATTCTCTTTTGGGTTATTTTACTTTTCTGTCAAGGAAAATTAAATACAATTTATTAAAATAAAATCTGCAACCAAGGGGAAAGGGCAAAGCTCATGTTGTACTTACCTTTGTGAAAAACTCAGAAATTAAATGGTATCTTGCAGGTAATGGAACAAAAAATGGTAAAGTTAATAGTATAAAAATTAAAAGGTCCCAGCAAACCAAAACAAAATCCAAAAACAGGGTACTTTGAATCTGTAATGAAGATAACAACTCAACATACTAGTATTCTTTTTCCTCTGCTTCTGCTCCTTCCACCATAATACCATTAAAGTAACTGGTGGAGTTGCTGGGGAAGAGGGTGGTGGTGTTGCATGTGGGGCTTTTATTCTTATTGGGTTTCCATAGTGGTTTTTCTAGTACAGCTAAAATCAGATGCTTTGCATATTGTTTTACACATACAGCAACATTCTTCTACCCAACTTCCATGACTTTACAGTTCTGTTGACCACTTAATACCATCCTTTGCAATATGACTTTTCCATTTTTGGTTTTTTACCTTTGATTGAGTTTTACAGATCGAAGCAACACAGTAAGGTAAAAGAGACTACAAAAATACTCAGATATGGTTTACATCAACTCAGGGAAGGCAGCTGAGATTTTGCAGAACAGCAATGTACTCAGAAAACTTGACATCTCCAGCTGGCAGCTCTGATGATTCTCCTGTAAGATATACATACTCTCCCTCTGTATTTAAGCCGCTCACATTTTTTATTTTCCCCTCTGTCACTCTTTGGAGGTTTTTTTGCTGGTTTTATTATTGTTGTTGTGCTTTGGGTTTTGGCATTTTTTGAGAAAAACTGCTAGCCCTCGCACCGTTCAAGAGGAATGCATCTTCAACAGTAGCACAGTGGCTACACAGTAAAGGCTGATGAAGTACGTTTCATATTTTAACTTTGTGAAGGTGCCTTTGATTTAATCTATCTGCACTCCAGATCACTTATCTCTTCTTATGCCTTCTGCTTTTACATTTATACACACAGTTGAGCAATACTCTTTAGATTTATTGGTTCTTGTGATCCAGAACTTCCACTTCAAGTTTTTAAATAGTTTACTTTACTAAGTAGAAGATAATTTTGCCTGGACGTTGCTCCTTTTATGGTCAAGGAATCAGCAGAACCCATATTTCCTGTGTGCTTTACAGTTTAGCCTTCTCAAATTTCTAATCCTTGTATATTTAAAATAAAAGATTGCTCAATGTTTTAAATGACCCAGTTACATCAGGGGATCCAATTATTTTATTCAGCATCTTTAAAGCCCAAGTGAGTATTGCTACACAAATTTTTAACGCAAGCAATTGAACTGTAACTTGATTAATGAACTCAAAACATGCTACCTGATACCAAAAAACCCTCAAAGAGAAAAAAATATCATTTTACTTTTGACAAGAAGCTTCTAAAACAGTGACAGTTTCAAAATCTAGCATAACAGTAAATAGGAAGATTTTAGGTGCAAGGTATTGAAAAGTATAAAAGTTGTACAGGGCAGAAATTATAATGAGGTACTACTCTGGAAACAGAGATATCCTTTTCAATCTGCCCTGAACTTTGATTTAATACTTTTTTGTCGAAATAAGTGGATACCACTTAGAATATTAGACTGACTCATTTTTGCAGGAAACTAAAAAGTGCTATTTCAGTTTTAGTCATATTCATCTGAATTATCAAAGGCCAGTGTAACTTAAAAAGCAGTGAGTGTTGAAGTCATGCTATATGTATATAGCAGTACATACGAGTCTCAGAAAAGCCTCATGTAACATTGTCTGAACGCCACCACCCAAACTGCAGATGTGAAAACATCAAATTCAGCTCTATGTTTAAGCGTCTCCATCAATCGATAACATAGTCCAGAACTTATAGTCTGAGATCATACTCTCATCAAAGTTTACATGTGCTCAATTTTTAACATTTCTCTAAAATGAAACTAAGAAGGATATGAGAAAAAAATGTCAACACAGCCTGAATCTTTTGAATTTCTGTCAATTAAAAAACAGATTAACATCAAAAACAGCCCCTGTCCATTTCAATGGACACAGAATATTTTACCATGTTTCTCTTCCCATTTCACAAATCAACAAGAAAGCCAAGGCAGGGGAAAAAGTGCAAACAAGTGTACCCAGACAACTCTGCTTTTTAAGAAGTTTTTTCCACTTGCCTTAGAGAAAGAAGGTAATGAAAATTAACAGCTATGACATACTTTCTATTCAAATGTCACAGAACTCTAAAACAGCTACTCCATTATTTCAATATATCTAGAAGAGTTTAGGAGGTTAATAAATATGAAAGATAATTAAATTATTTTATTCTAAAATATGCAGAAGCTTTTACCAATTGACAGTTTGTTAGACAGTAAAATGTCTAACAAAAATTTAGTAAATTCACTCCCCTGATCCTGAAAGTGTCCAACATATTACTGCAATACGCTTACTAAGGAGAACAATGTTTCATTGCCTAGACTAAACGCAAAATTCACAATGTTACTGGGAGTAAGTGGTGTAAGTGTGAAGAGAACTGCTCGTTACTTACTCTTTTCAGCATGATAGCAGAAATAAAACAGTATATATACTTACTGTGTAATTGAATTTTGTACACTCTTTTCATCTAGAGTCATTCCTGGAGGTGGATCATTTTGAAATGCCAATAGTTCTTTTTGTAATCGTTTCTATAAAGAAATTATATGGCATATTTGAAATACTAAATGAAGTTCAACAATAAACATGCACACTTAAGTACATTTCATCAAAGTTTGAAAGGTAAAAGGAGTTTTACTTAACAATTTAAAAACAAAGTGAAATTTAAAAGTGAGAAAGAAGGATGACTTCACTCCTAGAAATTCAACTGAAAAGACATAGGCAAAATACGTTTAAAGCTTTAAACTTACTTTTTGGGTAAAAGACAGTGGCACATTTGCAACACTGCAAAGGGAAGAGCTTATGTGCTACAAACTACATGGAGGTATAAACAAATTTATTGTGTAACAAAAACATCTGTAAGAGCTCTACCCCTAGCAGCAAACATTTCATATTTACACAACATCATTAGATTTATAATTAAATCTACAAGACTTTAACAGCACAACTTCCTCCTCTAAGTAACCTAAGACGTTTCCATCTGGCATCTCTGCAAGCCTTTGCCTTTTTCTAAGTCATCCCAGAGGACAGAACAGAAAACTAAACCAAGACTATTTGGATTACACAACGCAAACTAAAAACTTTACACTAAGTGCATCTTAGAACATAAAGTCAGAGCACTTATTAAAGCGTTATGGCAGTAGCTCAGGTAATTCTTGCCTATTTTGACAGAGAGAAATCGGTCACTGCAAGAAGGTATTTCTGTAACAACCACCAGAACAGTTCCTTACAATCTATTGAGCAAGGGAAATGCAGCCTCTGTGCTGTCGTTGGCACTGCTCTCAGAGTCAATTTTCTCCATATAAAGTTACACAATATGTTTGGTCATTTCCAAGCCATCTAGATGACAAAAAGTTCAAGGCTTTCTCGTTTCTACTGACCTTTTTCCCTGCCAACAATTTTAAGGTTAGCGTCTACAAGTTCACTTCAACCTCACTACAAGTCAAAATTATTCCATCCTCCAAAGGAATAAAAATATGTGGTTTGGGGATTTAGTACCTCATTTCATTCAATATCCAATTTTTTTTTTAAACACAGGTTTATCACACGCTTGTAGCTGTTTTCCAGTGCTTAGAAGAACTTAAAAGGATTCCCAGGGGAAAATAAAGTGTTGATTTGTCAACACAGAAATGATTCAGTATCCCATGAGATATATTCAAAATCAGACTACAATAAATTCAACCACACAACTCATAAAGAAAAGGCCCTTATACATTCACAATTTACATTCTGAAAATATTGAAATAACTTTCTGTCTCTATCAATCAGCCCTGAAAACTTCCTTCGGCTGCTATACTGAAAGCTCCTAACTGGCACTGAGACAGAACATAAACTGAAAACCCCGTGCTAACAAATGATAACATTTTCATAAGCTGTATGGTTTCGTTGCCCACACATTGAAAAACAGGTTAGAATCCTAGTGTTTATGTTTTTGTTGCAGCTCAGATTAAGAAAACACTAACATTGTTTCCAACACCACTATTATGAATTAAAATGCAAAGGAGCAAAGTTGCAAAACCACTTTATAAATCCTTAATTTGAATGGCAGAGATGTTTTGAAGTCAATTCTCTTTCTGGTACTTCCCCAGACCGCCATCACACAAGCCTCAAAGGCAATCAACCTGTGTACACTTCATCACGTAGAGAAATATTTTAAAAGTTCAGAGATGAGAACATATGACAACAGAAATTCAAACTCCCCTAAAGAGGAGATTTGGAAACATTGGTTACAAAACAGCAAAGAACATATGTACATAAGAACTGCAAATAATTCAGTAGATTCATTTACTTATACATGTTCACCAACTATACAACTTTGTCTTTATGAAAAGGAGCCTAAAACACACTTCAGAATTTAATTAAAACCTGAAACATTAAGCTATCAGTGTCTGACAGTAATTTGAAGAGATAAAATTTTGTCTGTTTTGTTTCCTAAATAAAATTTCAAATTACCAACACTTAAAATATTATCTAATTTCTAGTTTGCACCTTTGGCCCTTTCTCCAGCAACAACCTTTTCAGTCTAACACAGACTCAGTCATGTTTTTGTCCATATCACTAGTGCAAAAATACCCTCTGTTTCATAGGTTTTTGGTTCTCACATACTATGTTTATGGCCCTTTCTAAACAAAAAAGCCAGTAACAAAAAGAAAAAAAAAAAATTAAAATGTGTACTTGAACAACAGAGTACCACTGAAGTGCTCTATTCCTCTGATCCTAAAACATTTGCTGACACTGGCATGAGGGCCTGTCCATTCAGCATAAATAATACATACAGATAACGTGCTACCTCTCATTGTTTGCAATTCAAAACAAAATTCACAAAACATATCCCAGAGAAATAGCAAGAAATACTATTTACACTTTGGGTCAAATGTGTTACATCAAACAAATAATATTTTTAAAGAAATTATTATTTCCCAGTTAGCCAATTCAAATAAGTATCAATGTAAGCCAGAAAAGGAAAGCCCATAAAATCCTGAACAACTGGAAAAAACTGATGAGCAGAAGGCTACAGTACTCAACAACAGGACTGGTTTTTTTTTTGCTTCAGTCTTCAATGGGAACCTCTTTTCCCACACCACTCAAGGGGATGGACACCAGGAGGGAACGAAGTCCCTCCCACTTTAAGTAAAGGTCAGGTTCATGACACTTGAGGAACCTGAATATAAACAGATCTCTGGGACCCAACGAGCTGCATTCCAGACTCCTGAGAGGAATTGGTGGATTTAGTTGCCAAGCCACTTTCCGTATTTGAGAAGTCATGGCAGTCAGGTGAAGTCCCAGCTGATAGGAAAAAGGGTAAAAAGGAGGACACTGAGAGCTGTCAGCCTCACCTCTGTGCCTGGCAAGTTCAAGGGACGCATCCTCCAAAAAGCTGTACTATGACACATGCAGGACAGAAAAGGATTAAGAACAGCCACCATGGCTTCACTGAGGCCAAGTCCTGCCTGACTAACCTAGTGACCTTCTACAATGGAGTGACTCACCAGTGGACGAGGGAAGGGCTACAGATGCCATTTATCTGGACTTCTGGTAAGTCTTTGGCATGGTGTCCTACAACATCCTTCTCTCTAGGCTGGAGAGAGATGGATTTGATGAGTGGACTGTTCAGTGGATAAGGAATTGGTTGGACAGTCACATCCGGGGGGTTGGAATGAAATGATCTTTACAGTCCCTTCAAATCCAAACCATTCTATAATCAGTTCCATCTGACCTCTATTTGCAGTTCTCAGTGGAAATATCAATACAATAAAAATAAAAAAAATCTATGCCATTCCCATAAAAAGCTGAAAAGAGCTTGTTCAGTAGAAAATTAATGTATTAGCTATTAAGTTACAGAAACTCAATAACCCAGAAAAGCAAGACTGACACTCTCAGTGTTATAATGAAAACAATTTATAGCAAATAAGTTTATCACATTGAAATAAGGGACTCCACAAAAAACCCTGACTATTATTATCTATTAAGCATAGGAAACTGCAGTGCAATTCTGATTAATGGTAAATTCCCTAGACACAGCTCCTCATTGGATAGGGAAGGAAGGGATTTAGAGGTGAAGAAACACACACCTCTTCTGGATTTGTTCTTGATTCAGGGCAATATCCCAAACAAAACCAAGTTTCAGCAAAAGGCGTTATTTCCTTCTGCCTTACAGGAACCTCTCTAACCCTATGTCTGCCTAAAGAACCTGTATACCATTACACTACACCTTGATGGATTTTATGCATCTCAGAACTGCTAACCCCCAAATAAAGAGGCTCTCACCCTAGAATTATTCAGAACAGAAGAGCAACAACTGCTATTATAAATGGCAGAGAACTTCTTCATTTGTCTTATCTCCGGCTATACTATCTGGATAATTTGCTTTGATATTAAAGATCAAAAGAAGTATCTTATAATGAATTCCTGGATTTCTCCAGCCCTCAATGACAGGAAGTCTGAAAGTGTTAAACAGTTCAAGAGGAAAAAATGCTTTTAAAGATTTCCCAAGTATTAATCTTGCCACTAGAGACAGAAGCAAAGCAGTTTATATACGAAGATAATTACTTCTAGTGGACCAAAAGACACACCTTTAAGATGTGATTTAAGTCCATTATTTGTTGGGGTTTTTTTCCCCCAGCTGGAATAATAAAATATACTCTATATTTCAAAACACTCTACTATTCCAATAACCACACCACAGAAATTAATAATTCCTAATGTGATGAACATATCTGGGTATCTTTAACAGGCCTTCACCACACATCTTCAAAATTTGGGGTTTTTGTTAATCAAACATCAACTCAATTATTTCTGTACAGAATAACAAAGAGCTGCCTATAGACCCTTCCAGAACATGAGAGTACTTCACAGAAACTGGAACAAAACTGCAGAGGGCACAAAGTGCCTACTAACCAGAATTCATTCGAACAGTGGGAAAAAAAAAAGTTTTGAGAGAGAATAAATAATATTTAGAAAATAATCTTTAAATAAACTTCTTTGGTCAATGCATTCCAGTGTTGCACTACCCATGGTATAAAATGTTTCTTTTGTATCTTACCAAAATACCTCATGTTCCAATTTGTATCTATTGCCCTTTGTCTTCCCATAGTGGCTCTGTTTTCCCTTGATATCTTCCTATTATGTTGTTGCAGGCATCAGCAAATCTCTCATTTGCCTTCTCTTCTTACAGCTGAAGAAACCCAGTCTCCTTGGAGGTCACACAGTTCTGCCCAGCATCCTGCCTGTCATCTGCTGGACTCACCCCAGAACCCCAATGTCTGTCCTATACTGCAGCTCCCTGAACACAGCACTCCAGGTATGGTCTCAAGTACCAGAGAGAGGAGAAGAATCACTTTCCTCGAGCTGCTGGCTCAGTGCTTGCACAGACAGCCTGACGTGCAGCTAGGGATATTCAGAAAACTTGAACATACTTTCCACAGCTATTATGAAGGACTATTTTTTTTTCTTTCTCTCTTTCTTAAAATAATTTGTCTTTTGTTGTGTCTCATTAATACAGAAACTGGATTATCAGGAGACTGATCTAGCT